TTATAGCTTTTTAATGTTTTGAGCAAAATAAAACATCGTGTCTTAACTTTTTTTAAATTGTATCAGCTGGGAAACAGATAATGGCCATGAAAGGTGATTCAATCAATTGTTAATGCTTGTTTTGCAAGGACGTGAAGTGCGTGAAGTGTATCACGTATTGAATCAAATTGCCGATGGAAAAGACGGTTACCTTGGCGAAAATAATCTATTTCTCTCACACAGTTCAAATATTTATGAGAATAGGGCCTATGTTCCATCCTAAACGCCCTGAATATCATGCAAAAAATATCCCCAAACTAATTCAACATTTTTATCTGTCGGATATATTATACGGATACGTATATGTAAGAACTGATAAACGAGATCTTTCTCACTACACAAAACTGTGATAAAACGAAAAATAGAACGTCGATTTTCAAAAACAGTATTTCGTATTTTAATAACAGCATTCAGAGTAAAACACAAATTTCCCATATGCAATATTTTTTATGCTACTTAGATGATCAGCAAAGCCCAAAATCCATGAGCTACCGAATGCCTACAAGCCAGCCAATATGTATGTTATTACGGGCTGAATCTCTCAATTTACATTTACCGGTGATATTTCTTTGGCTAATGCAAATTTACACGTTTGCTCACAGATAGTTGTCAACGTCTTTTATGTTTTCTATGGATTTGGCATGAATATCGTGAAAATTGAGTTGAACCAGAAATATACGTCTTTCTTCTGAAAATTGTATGTGAGTACAATTTCAATATGCAGTAAATATTTCCAGGGGGTTCGTATTCTAAGTTATCGGATCTAAGGATCGTATCCGTAATTCTAAGTTTATTTAAATAGTTAATTCGAGTAACCTATCGTGGCAGCGTTTCGGGGTCTGTAGAAAATTCCATACTAAATTGGAATATTTACCTAGGGGAAAATACAGCTTAACCGTTTAATCGAAGTATGTGCATAATTATATAAGTTCATAAAGTTTGTTCAGGTTAATTATGTGGGTGTATTTTTGCTTGAACTCAAAAATTTAATAAGTTCGAAATTCAAAAAGATTTACGCTTCCTTTAACGTATTTAAACTGAAAGTTTTTAGGCGCGTATAAGAATTTTCTATCTTATGTCGCTCTTATTATAATACCTTCTGTTAAATGTTCAATTGTAGTGAATGTGTAGGGTCATAGTATGCTTCGAAATACTTATAGCAATTTGAACGCAATGCCTGAAAGTGTTTATTTAAATTTAAAAAAATGTAAAGCCAACAAGGACGGATATACGGATATCCGCCCGCAGTGATAAACTTTTATAACTCAAAAGCAAATGAGAATTTACGTCCTCATTAAAGCTAATAAAGTGAGCAACACAATCACTTAAAAAATTGTTATTCCTAACTATCAAGCGCTCAATTTCTGTCCAACCTGAGTTTGTTTCATTAACTTGACGCAAAGTATCGCTTTCATTTGAAACATTTTAAAACTACATCTCCAAGGTTTGGTAGATGTAAATATAATTGTATCATTATTTCTCTCTATTTACCTAAAACGTAATGCTTTGTTATTTATTAATATTTTATCTTTTCAAATAAAGTCTGGTGACCTAAATGAGTCGTTTTGGTGTCGCAGAAAAGCTGTTCAAGCTTTACTGAAAAGCAAACTTATACTAACCACAAATAACATGATGTTTTACTGAAGATTAAGAATTTTATTCCAAACCACTTACATAAATACCAGTAGAAGATTATTATGGCTTTATTTGCTTGTAAATATTTTTCTGAAGCCCCCAATTTGCTTCGCTTCAATTACAGAGTTTTCTGAGATAACAGTCAGCTATTTATTATCAATCATAATCGATGTGGTAACAATACAGTTGTCGGATCGTAGCTAAAATGCACATTTCTATTGCGAAACTGTATGTCTTGGATTTTGTGCTTTTAAAATTTTCAATGGCTATGTTAAGGATCAAAATAATGCACAAGTATCTAAGCTCATCTTTACCATATAGACTTTAGGTGCGCCAAATTTATAAACTCAATCTATTTTATTTACTGAAATAATCATTATCATACCTTAGGTATTCCAAAATTATAGTAACGAAGAATTTAGAAATATCCAGGAAACCATTCTATACCTATTCAACTTCCTGAACAACAAAGCTTAGCTCAGCTTAAGGTCTGGAGAGAGTCCATATTGTATCCGGTTATTTGTTTGAAAAGTGATTCATACTTCAATAAGGTTCTATCTAGCAGATATTAAGAAAGTGTTGGTCAACCTGCAATAAAATTTTTGTTATGAAAAAGTATTGATATTGTAATTTTATTGTAAAAAACCAAAAAAATTCTGCGTGAAGTCAAGGTTAAGAGAAAATGTATATTTAGGTCAAACTCTTACCCGAGCAAAAGTAAAGAAACACTTTGTAATATGTAATGTTATGATGCATAAAATGTTTAACTGTTTACTTTCAAATAAAAAGTTTACCGCTCATATTACAATGGCTCGTCATTCAAAACTATTCGGAGCGAAACCGCGATTATTTTATTTACCGTGATTTTCGAACTTAAACAATTCTTGAAAGTCGACTGAATTTTATTGTTTACGCCACCACATGGACGAGCTTCACATTCTGTTGCTAATAATGACTGTATTTTTTACAAACGCAAGCACTCCTTTTTCCCATTTTCCCCGTGCCGATAGTTGCAATAACTTAAAAGTACTCCTAAGCAGATCAGTAATTCAATGCAAATGTTTTGCCAACAACACGAATATTAATTCAATCAATTATATAATACATATTTTAATAACTTCAGTATGTGAATAGCAATCGTATGTATGTATATGTATTCTTTAGAAAAATCATTTTTAGGACTTCTTAGAAACGTCTACCTAAGATTAGTTATTATTGAGTTCTTACAGACGCTATTACGTTACCAATTTTGGATCGTGTCGTTCCCTTCATCGTCGTCTAATGATTAAGTATTTCCATATTTTCCAAGCTTGCAACTAGTAATTGAATGAGTAATGAGTTTTTTGCGCCGTTTTCTTCGAGTTGAATATTTTACGTCCAAAACCCGTACAGATATCGTCCCGTTCTGAAGCCATTGAAATGAAATTGTCAATACATTGAGCGTTTCAATATATAATTATTTATTTTTAAAATTTGTTGTCGCAATTTGTTGAAATATTGACCAAATGCTTTATTACCAAAAACCTATGTTTTCGTATGAACGTTAAATAATGCTTGTAGTGTTATTCTATGTCTATAACCTACTACTAAGTTTTATTTAATTAACTTATGTGTTCTTTTCGTCGAAGTCATTTTATGTAAATAATATATCATCATTGTTTCCACAGGTTTTTAAACAAAATGTACAAAATGTGTTAATTTGGGAGCCTTCCCTCTCAAGCCGCATTCATATAACTTGTCTTACAGTAATTGATGGTCTACCGTGTCGAATGCCTTGGCAGGATCTAATAAGGTGATAGCGATGGGTTTTCTTTGATCTAGGTTCTCATAAATTGCGTTTGATATAGTGCTTAATTCATCCGTGATTGCTATGTTTTTAATAAATCATTAATAAATGATTAGTCACTTGATTTAATATTTATTGCTTAGACCATATTTCAAAGAATTTGTAATAGTTTAAGTGATGATAACATTATGGAGCACACTGAGTAGGTCTAGATTAGTTTTTGTGATCTTGGTCGCTCTAACAGCATGATCAGCGATAAAACTATTAGTAGGTATAACCTATTTCAACTGAGTTAAACAAACCTTTCTATTTCCACACGGCTAAAATACATTTACGTAATATTACTTATAATGGCTAGCTGTGATGGTAACGATCTGAAATAAAGCAATTTACGCAAATCACAAAATACGGGCATTTTTAAATAGTGGCCATTTATCGAACCAGCAGAAACCTCAATTATCTCCGTTGTCATATATATGGATACTTTATGTAACTCAAAATTTAATGTATAAGAACCGGAAATTTTAGTTCTTTCTCTATCTGTAGATGAAAGCCAATGGGATATAACTGCGACATAGCAAGCAATTCAAACGACTTTCCAAGAGACAGTTTAATAATATTATCAGAACTTGTATACTCCACTGTTAGAAACTTAATAACAGTTTAAAATCTTACTCGATTTGCAAGTATTACTTCAAGTGATACTCTTACAGATACTGATAAAGTTTATCTAGTTTATGACGTTCGATGGACTAATTATAAATTATAACTTTCAGAAGTCTAATATCGTTCGACATTTTAAAATTGAAGGTAATTGTTTATTTTTCAACGTAGCATTTTGGTTCGCTTATATAATTAATATCTTAATAATTTAGTAGCAAATCGCCTTTCTAAGCTGCATTATTTCTTCTTATTACTCATTAAAATTTTTTACCTTTTTGAAGTGGCTTAATAGATCAGTTTTAATCAAAGTACATGAAAGCTTTATTTGGAAAAAATCTCCGTCTCCGGAAAAATGTATATATGTGAAAAAATGGAGCACAAGTCGGATTTATCTAATTTTTTTAAAGCTAAATCGAATTAAATGGTTTAATTTATTGAAAATTATACTTGGCCCTCGCAGCCAAAAGATATTTTAAGAAAGCTAGTATCCGTAAATTCTAGACTTACGATATTTAGCGTTCTGAGAAAGGTGTCAGTAGCTCACGCTTCAGCTGAAAGCCGCGTGTAGTCATATTTCATATCAAAAATTGAGTTGAGCTTTAAGTTTAAAAAAATCTGACCTAAAATATTCCGATATTGAATTAGCTCTTCCAGTGGCATCAAATTTTGAAACAAGTGAAATTAACAGTTTAAGCCAATTAAAACTCATTCATCTCACCAAATCGAATGAATATCCTTCGATTTAATATTCAGTGAACTTCCAAGAATTATTATGTGAAACTTTAATTAACAGGCTCGCTTTGTTGCGACATACACCAGCATGCTAATATTTCATAATGCTACTTGTAACACTAGTAATTGCTGTGTTCGAAAAGGGCGAGAAAACCGCTTGCACCGTCAGCATTTCCTGGTTTCCATGTTTATCTCAGCTCTGAATAATGTGCGTACGCCGGCGTATTCATAATACAAGAGAGAAAATTTAGTTCGATTGACCTAGCGCCAAATTGATGTGACAAACTAAATTTTACGATCGCAGAGTCAGACAATAATTGCACCCTGGATACTTCCAGGATAAAAGTTTAACGGAAACATCGAGCACACACCGAACTCTATACTAGCTCTAATGGGGTATGACATATTTCTATCATTTGTGTTAAATGCCACTGGTAAAAAGTAAATGGTAAAAGGTAAACGAGTGCTATTAAAATAACCACATATCCGGACAAACATATATAATTACATTGCTTACAAGTGTATATTTTCCTGACTGTATTTCAACTTAATTCCACAGAAATCCCTGGGTTCCAGTCAATTTTATTGCTTACCATTTAAAATATTACAAAAACGTTTCGGCGTTTTTCTCCACCATCATCAGTTTGTCTAAAATATACATTCACAGTCGTTACTAGTTTAAAAGAAAAGCTCTGTTAAAATATACATACTAAAATACAAATTACAAACATATTAAAAAGTATATTAAAATCGTTTGAATCTCTTGGGATTACAGGTGATGAGTCAGGGCAATCGTGTTCGGGAAAAGACTAGAATTTATTGTTTAGAGATTTAAATTTTATTTACAGGTATGGTTGTTTCTACCTTCACATTTGGCAAGCCATTGAAAAATCTTTACTTCGTCCAATATCGAGCGAAAGAATAAAAAACTGTTTATAATATTTGGCATTTTTCTTTGCATTCTGAGGATATCACTTTGTCTGCATTTCTTCAATATACCAAGTGTATATATTTTATGTAGTTGATTTAATTAGTGTATATAGGTGTTCGTTTAATTAGTGTATGATAGATAGAGCTAAGATTGTCTGTGTCTGATCTAAAATTCATTGTGTTCTGATGTTTTTTAATTTGTATCATTTCATGGATTCTTCTCTTATTATAATTGTCTTCATTGATTAATATTTTTGTGCTATCAAAATCAAAACTATGTAACATTTCTTGCGCATGCTGTGCTAATGCTGGTCCATTTTCGTTAACCTTTCTTAAGCTATATTTATGTTCATATACTCTTTTCTTTAAATATTGTCCTGTTTGACCTATGTATGCGCTTTCACAGTTCAAACAATCAATCTTGTATATGTATTACATTAGGTGTGTTTAACTTATCACTTTTAGGCTTAAATTTTGTGAAACATTCTTTTGCTAAATTGTTTTTAGTTTTCTCTGCTATAGTGATATTATGCGGTTTTAATGCGGTGAATATATATTTTAGACAAACTGATGATGGTGGAGAAAAACACCTAAACGTTTTCGTAATATTTTAAATGGTAAACAATAAAATTGACTGAAACCCAGGAATTTCTTTTGAATTGCTTACACGGTATTTCGTGTTATGTTAGGGAGATGAATATCACAAAAAATAATCATATAATTCTGGCAATGGAAAAATTGAGTTTCATGTCTGAGCTTTCGTAAAAGCGTTCCTCCTGTTTCAAGGTTTAACTCCTGTTTCTTTCCACACAAGAAAATTACAATCGTTTGTGAACAATAAATTTATCTTTTCATGTTTAATAAACCATACGAAAGAAAGAGGAAGCTCCAAGATTAGAACGTTAGATATAAAATCCTACAGCTCCTCTAAAAACGTAGTCAGTTCGATTTCCAAAGTCCTTGATATTCTAAAGTTATAATTAAATTATGCAATATTACATTTATATTATACTTTTATATTCTTACGCATTTGAAGCCCATTAGTTTGGGTTAGTTTGGGTGTGTGAAAGGTGTTTCCATTCAATCAGTGTGAGTGAAGATTATAAATGTTCGAACTTTTAACTTTGTCGTAAAAGAAAACATTTCGTAAGCATTTACAGCTGTACTTAACGGAAGACTTATATAACTCTATTTCCTTCTATTTTTTTGAATGTACATATAAGAGTTCCATACGAGTAGGTACAGTTGGGTTGTAACTGGTTACAATTTTATTTCTAAATAGTTTTCGCTGACTAATGAAACATGTTATTATATCAATTAGTGTGTAGTATATTGAATATTCAGATCGTACTTACGAATTCCGCCTTTATGAAGTAGATGTCAATGACACTAGTAGCTGAAAGACTTTGATTTCTGACTGAGATTTTTTAAACAACAAACGATGTGTCGAATTAATGCTTTGAAACTGTATGACTACGTTGAAAATTTAGTTCGAACTAGTGTCTCGTCAAAACATATTTGCAATTGATAAACGTATTTTCAAATTCTTTAACTTTCTTCCTGCTGTGAATGATGATCCATATTTATAAGGGGTCTCATTTTCAAATTTGCCACCCTTAATATCTTGGATTCGAAATAAACCTCAATTTTTTGAATTACTGTTCTAATTATTTGAATTACAAGGCGACCCAATGCAATAATGTTTCTGTAAACACTAAGCTGAATACCAAAATCTGAATTCAGGCAAGTTCAATTGCTTATCCAACTTTAAAACTGTAAAAGCGATTGTTCGGAAACCTCTGGACAAAAGCAACACAGTAGATAGATACCAATAAAAAGAATTGAACGTCGTTTAAAACGATGGTCCACTTGACCCTCCCTCCCAATTAAGATTCTGAGGGTGACATCTACCTCTCCTAGGGCGTTCAAGGGAAACAATAATTCTTGACATATTCATTTAAAGTCTCCCCCTTACAAACAAAATTGACGTGTTTCCATTTTCTTTATTTTTAACTGCAATACAGACAAATTTTAAGGGTGAAAGAACCAAATAACCTGAGTCGTTAAACGCTCTATAAAACAACTGGTATAGTTAAGAAGTGCATAACGGAAACTGGAAAGTTTTAACAAAAAAACATAAAGTGTACAGTTCTATATTTGTACTTAAAATTAGATGATGAAAATGGATGGCGAATATTGATATAAACTATGTACATAACTGTACGGCACATTTACGGCGGTAACGGCACATTTACTGTACTTGACTAATTTGTAAAATGTTCTTATTTTATATGCAGAAGCAGGATTAAACTTATTTAAAACCATTGAAAGCGACCTGCTATTAAAAAATATTGTTTAATTTTCACTTAGAGAAATAATGAAAAATAAACGAAAAATAACAGTTTTTTCTCATTTTTAGCAAGTCCGGATGAATTGATTTAGTATTTTATATTAATAAGAATTGCGAAGTACTTTTAATTGAAATTTAAATAATTCGATATACTCCATTAACTTATCTAGAAAATCTAATCCAATATTCCTGTCGACTCTAAGGACATGGTGACTTAGCCATCGAACGGTTAATAAAGGCAAAAATGTTGAAACCATCACTGGACCTTAGATAAATCTATCTCCCACAAAATATTTTATAAAAGAAAACTCATGTTATCGTTTGTCAAAATTAATTTCATTTTAGAACACCCATCTTCGGTGAAAACACCACAAGGGATCATTTTCCATTCAGATAATGTTTCCTTTGATATGGATTTATTTAACGAACTCACTAGTTGGTTAGATGGTTTCTTCCGCTCTTCCACTTTGTGATGCTGAAAGTTCAGAAGTTTAAAACGCACCCGTCAGTTAATTAATTTAAAGGGATTTACGAACATCAGTTTTGAAAAAAAAGTAATACTGAAATGTTAGTATGTGGTATTTCATAAATGTGGAGAGTAAAAAACCTTCCCTGATATTAATAAAGAACAAAACGAGTGAATATAAATTTAAAATTTGGTTGACATTTCAAATATAATCTGATTCATCCATGCGAATTTGCTAATTTCCATGCGTTTGTTACTTCGAACTTACTGCGAAATTAAAGTGATTCAATCTTTTGTCTTTGAACTTTTATATAATAAAAAACACGTTTATGGTAACATAAGAAATGCTACTAATGCGTAATCAAATGTGTTTCAGCCGGATTCATGAATCGAAAACCGAGTTAAACATAGAAGTGTCATGGAAAATTAGAGCCACTTGATACTTGCATACACTGTCTTTTGTTGAGCAAACTCTATAATCCTTCCATGAGCTAATTTCGAGTAATCGCCTGTTATTAATAGATAAACTCCTATTCATATTTCAATGACAAATCAATTGGTCCTACACTTGCACATGCAACAGCGTCACAGCTCCAGTTACGCCTTCATGTACATCTTCAATAAAACGAAAATTATTTACAAAACTAACAAATGTCATTTTATAAAAATTGTTTTGATCTTAATTAATAAATGCCGGCAACTAATTTGGATTTTCTCACTTTCCTGTTGCAACTTGTTGTAGGTTTCTAATTCAATCAAGAAAATAATTCAGCATATTTTAAATATGCACGCCTACTTTTGTATACAAAATAAGAGGCAAAATCGGTAGCAGTTTGTCACTTATATGCTTCATACCAGAGGCAAGAAAGGACTTTAACTAAAGAATTTGTTATTTGTCACTGCTTCATACGGTCCAAATAACTTGCGTATACTAGATTTTGCACTATTTAACGAATGTTTATCAAGGAAATAGTGATTCTATATCTGAATTCTACATGTCATCGTGGCCTGTTAAGCCACATAAAACCAATTGAACGTAAATAGGTCACCTCAATTTTCACATAGATTATTATACTGGGTTGTCCCATATAACTACAACTTTTATATCCTTTATATGCATTTGCATGCTACACAATATGTACTTAAAAATGTGAAGCAAGTTACATTATTGGGCAGAAAGTGTTGTTGGGATTGGATTGGAGACTTCAAGGATACTAAAGTTTGGGCAAGACCAATTATGTTACCGTTTATATTTCTAGTATGACTTAGAAATATCCGGTTGAAGGCAGGAATATAAATATAATTTACATGGAGATTTGAGATGTCTCAGAAAACGTTCGATGAAAAGGTTTTTAAATATTATTTGACAAAGTTTTAGTCCTTAATAGGTACTAATTCTAATAACCAGATTCCTATTATTTACCACCTTTGCGAGTTTTCTCATACAATTTCAATTCCGAAACCATAAACTGCCAATTAGATTTCTAAGTAGCTATACATTTATAGTAACCGAAAGTTTTCAATTATGTAACAGACTTAAATATTTCCTTTTGTGATGTATATGGGTTTCTTGTTTGATCTTTAATTAACTAACCTGAAGCGAGAATTGAGAAGCCACATGAAAATTTGATCCTAATTCACTCCCGCAAACCACATAAATTGTGATCGAAACGCACGTGATTCAACACGTGAGCTTTGGATAGACGTTAGGGCGATCCGTAAGGGTGTCGCGTTTCGCGGCAACTGGATGCTGGAACTATGGAAGGAATGTGTTGCCCCTTCGTCGAAAAAGTTGATCGCGCATGATTTTGGTCCCCAATTTATATTTCAAAATTCAATTTGATGGCTATTGCATTATTCTGAGAAAGGCCCAATCAGTTTTATCGCTCACTTTAAATGAGTGAATATAACATGGTTTTCGTATTGTAGAGTAACTAGTAAATTACATGTTTTCGTATAAATTTAGTACCTTTAACCTGCATTTAGCTCTACTAATGAATTAAAAACTTGTTAAAACATATTAGTTACAGAGTTATGCATTATTCTATACAATTTTTAAATCGGTAAGGGACTGTTCCTACAATCAAGAGTAAAACAATTATATGTTTTAAAACCTTAAGTGATACTTTCCACACGACTAACTGCTACTGCACAAAGTAGGCAATTTTTGTGCTTTTGGTAAATAGCCAACGTTTGAAAATCAGGTTTTTGCTTTAACTTTTCTATGAAGTTACTTTCAAGTACACTTACCGTACACTGTCAATTTAGCTTTACACGAATATTTAGCATATACAAGCTCTCTCTAAAAGATAGGGAAAAACATTCCCACAAATTCCTGAGGTTACGCACCAACAATTTAATTTAGTTTGGTTGTTCTTTAATTTCATTTCATTATAATAATTGATATTTTGCCTCATTATTTAATTAAGGTGTTTTTAGGGTTAACATTCGAGTGCACGATCTGGGCTAATTGTCACACATTCAGAGCGAAAGACCTTTTATTAGCCCCAAAACATTTGCAACACGACAAATTTTACATTTCAATTTTTCACATAAAAAATATATGAAACCACGATCAATAAAAGCTATTTAATTAATAAAATATCCTCCACTAGCTTTCGCAGATCCGAAAAAGTTAAATTCCGAACTGTGATAGGCGATTTTAACGCAAAACTCGCCAGAACACAACAAGAAAATATCGACACCGTCGAAATCTTTGGAACAGGAGAAAGGAATGACAGAAGAGAAATTCTCCTAAATTATTAGCAAAACGAAAACGTATTCTGCATGCATAGCTTCTTTCAAAAACCGATCCTTCTTTCAAAAACGAAAATGAACTTGGTTAAGTCCGAGCGGCCTCGTGAAGAACGAAATAGATTATATTCTTGTAAATAACAGACATAAACAGCAGAACAGGTAAACATAAATTGTTAACGACAACAGAAACCGATTAATAACGGTATGCGAGTAACTAGACCTAAAAACCTAAACCAAAAATTAAAAATGGGTTTTTCCAACACACGGAAATACAAATCAAGCCGCAAAAGAAGCATTAGGTTTAGTGGAAAAAAATCGAAGAGGAGAAACCATATTGGTGGGATGCTGAGATTGAGAGAGAAATAGAGGAAAAGGAAAAACTGTATCACATTTACTTATCTCAAAACACAGAGACATGTGCTACACAGAATGCCAGACACAATTACAAGAGCGCACAACCAAAGGTAAGAAGAATGATTAGTGAAAAGAAAAATGCTGCGTAGACGCAAAAGTGCGAGAAAATAAACTCTTAGTTAGGAGGCCGAAGAAGTACCGAAAGTTAGAAGACGATAAAATCAATTAGAAAAGAAACGACCAGAGATATAATTTCGCCAATATCAGGCAAAGAATGGGATGCACACTTTAAAAAACTTTTAACGGATGGAAAAAGAGTGGAATTTCAAGAAGAAGAAATAAATGATGCCTTTATATACGATATGATCTCCAATACCATTAACACTTCCTGACGTTAAAAACGTACGCACAGCCTTTAAAAGCGGAAAATCTGCCGGACCCGGAAATAGCCCAGCTGAACTTATTAAATACGCTACTGATGAACTGTACGAAATATTTTCCAAAAATATTTAAAAGGAACCAAATTCCCAAATGGGTGGAAAACATCATATATATCCACAATTCACAAAAAAGGAAGGAGAGATATGTGCGACAATTATAGAGGCATATCTGTAACTAGTACGCTGAGCAGAATCTACGGCAGAATAATAAGAAATAAAAAGGAAAAGAAGTACACAGACATGGAGGCAGAAGAACAGGGCGGATTCAGGGCACGTAGATCGACGGTAGATCGTCTGTTCTGTATAACTCAAGTTATCGAAAAGAATGCCATATGGACAACAGTTGCATTTACTATACGTAGACTTACGAAAAGCATATGACAGCGTACCACTTAATTTACTTTGGAAGGCTTTGGAGAATACAAACATTAGCGTTCAGTTAATTGAAGCAATTAAAGAGTTGTACAACAATAGTGAAGCAAATGTCAAAATAAAACAAAGGCTAACAAAAGGGTTTCAACTGAATAAAATACTTAAACAAGGTTGCTGTATTTCGCCAACACTTTGCACGATTTATTTAGAACAAGTCCTTAAAGTATGGAAAAGAAAATGTCAAAACATGGGAATTCCATTAAATGAAACCATTTTATACACCTTATGTTTCGCCGGCAATCAAATTGTAGTGGCCCAGGAATTTGACGACTTGGAATACGACTCGAAAACTGATAGAACAATACAAAAAGTGGGGTTTGGAGGTCAATATAAAAAAGACAGAGAATATGTGCATTGGTGGAACGTTTTACCAATTTGCCAAACTCGACACCGTTTCAGATTTAAAGAACTTCGTTGTTTACATTGTGGCCACTATGATTAAGAGGTCGAGTTTGACTTGAGCTATCAAGAACTAAGCATTGTTTTTCTTGTTAAAACACACGTTTTACTTGTCCAACTACAACTTTCTGTTTATGTTCTATAGGACTTGGTTTTGAATTATTTCACGTATAAGGTTTCACAATTGGGTTAACGGTTGAAAGCCAAAAAAAGTATGCAAATATTACATTTTATAGCTTTTCGTTTCGTTTTAAATTAAGAACCTCATTTTTGCTACTTGCGAAAACTAGCTGATGAATAATCGGGATTTTCCGCAAATGTGGCTTTTTTCTTTCCATTTTTAATACGCAATATTAACATATTTTGATGCTGCGATTTGGCTTATGAGAAAACTTGTTTTTCGCCAACCTACTTTGAAACTACTAAAAAAAGTACTACTTTACCACTAGCTTTGATCTACAAACAAGATCCACACCTCAGTAGCTATCTTACATCTACGCGAAGTGTTACTAGCAATCGACAGGAGGTGCCGGTTCACTTTGTGTCTTCTGTAATATATTATTTACATCTCTCAATTTCGTCGCCATAATTCCAAACAATGTTTTACTTTTGCCTTCTGCTTATATCCTTCAATATTATATTCATTGATATTGCTTGATCGCTTCCGGCAAAATTAGTAAACAGTACAGGAAAGGTCAAGCAACTTCCTTACTTCAAAACGAATTTCCTTTGAAAGTCAATAGTAAAATAAAGAATATTTATTAAACGTGCGGTCCAATCGCTATTGGCTAACTTCATATACATATAAGTAGAAATAATTTTTCGTTCAACCAGGTACTCACTCTTCTTTAAAAGAGGCAAATATCCTAATCTAGTTACTTATAGATTCTAATGGCAAGAAACGTAAGTTCACTAAGTATGATCCGACAATTGATGGAGCCAGCAATCAAACCCCGCAAGAAGCAAAGTTCAACCAGTGTACGTCGATCCTGTACAGATGAGAACAAATGATTGCGAATCAGAATGAGAGTACCTATCCAATAGGTGGGTATATCCCAAGTGTAACAACGTAAGTATTTTAGAAAACGTCCCTGTACGGCTCGGAGGGCGTTAATGCGTAACCGAGAACTTAATGAGAGAACGCATTGAAATGGTTTGGAAACTAGTGAAAATAAATTAAAATTTAAAAAAATAAAATATCCATTAAAAAGTTCCTAACGGATTAGAGTAACAAATGCGAGGTTTTATCAGTAAAATGATCAGGCATCTTACATCTGCTGTTTCCTAGTTTTCGTTGTGGATTTTGCTAATTAGGCAGTAAGTTACGGATCATACGTAATTTCCAGCTGGAATCAAATATATTCTGACTAAATTCCCGACTTTGTTTTATGCTAGTATCAGCTGTTAAAAGAACTTTACAATGTTTTCTTTACTATATTCCGTAATCAGAGAATATAGAAAAAAAGTAATAATTAATAATTAAAGTCAGAATTGAAAGTATCTACTTAATACGCTTTGTGCGAAACTTGATCAGTTTCCCAAACACTTCACAAACATGACGAAATTCTACATGCAATTACCAATTATATCAATATTTGAAGAGCTTTAACAACTAATAAATCAAATTAAGTTTACTAGCTTTTCAAACATGTAATATTCGTTAATCAAATAAAACATCCAGTTCAGTTTGCCACTATTGCACGAATTTAGATAGTAGGTATGCACAGTAAAATTTTCTTTGCCTCGTTTCCGTCTAAACACTTAGTCATCATAGCTTTAACAAAGTATTCTAAGGTGATAACATTTCGAAATAAAAACTCAAACTCAAAGCTAAATAAATATCCAATAATGTGAGTATTTTGCAACCCTCCATACTATCTGAAGATTTCAAAATGGGTGGAAACTTTTGGAGAGGCTTGATATTTACGACTTTAAACTTGCACTGAAATATGTCTCTTTCCAGATAATATCGATGGTGTTCTCGGTTTTCGTAGAGATTTTTTTTCTCCTGGGCTTTGCACAAACGAGATAAACTAGGTGCAAAATAGTAACAACCCAAACAGAATACAGCATTTGCTGAATTTATAAAAACTTACTTGACTGGTATTATTCACAAAGGAAGTGAAAACTAGCTTTCTATGATTCACACTAGGGTGAAAATATTTATATGGCGAATATGATTATATAGCTCACAATCCAGTCAAGTCAGAATTTTAGCCGTTTAGAAGCAGATGAACATAGACTTAATAATAACATTGTTTCAACAATGAAACGGTCAAGAATTAGCAATATTTATGCCTATTTACTTATGAGCTTCCAAATAAACTGTAATTAACATTAAATTTTCTCTGCTTAGTTGAGAAATCGCTTCTAACTAACATTAGTAAGTAATTATGAAAATGATCCTAAAAATAACAAAAAAGTTTAAAATTGCTAGTGTAAAACAATAATTAAGTTAGTACAAAAACACATTTAAAAATCAAGGAAATTGTACTTTAGGAATGATCTGCAAGAGGTTATATGATATAATATTTTGGACTAATATTACAATTTTCCGATCATTTCATTTTCATGAATTGATGATAGCAATAATTCAAATTAATAAACTATACACCATACATATCGTTCCATTTTACTGTTTTTCAGTCATGCATATGATATATAACAATACTCTTATTGTTGCGCTTATATTATCAACACATATTGAAAATTGTGTATTTCGTTGGTAGTTTCCATGAAGGAATAAGTGCTCTAGATTGGATTCTGCTCAAACCAAAGCAATAATTAGAATATCCAGCGCTACATAATGCGAATCCGATGCAGATTGGACTGATGGGACTTTGGTTAATTTCCCGAAGGTCCACTTTAATTGGAAATATATGGGAGCAACAAACAACAGTAGCCATACGTTAAGTCCGTGAGTTAAGGGTTTTTGAATTTTCTGCAGTTCGTTTGCTGTTTCCATAATTCAAAAACGCTGTTTCGTAATAATCTGCACGTTCAAAGTTGAAACGTTTAATTAACATTTTTCTGGAACCTTTCTTAATTAACAGTTGTGGAAATGAAAACTAATGCAATTATGTTGTTTCCGGTTATATTCTGGTTAAGCTGCATTTTATTTAATATTTTGGAATAATGTTAATTGAGTCATTGTTCATTTAACTCCTGACATAATAGTAATATTTTCTTGAGATGCTTTATATTCCTCAGTATTGAAAACTTTTGAGATCCGTCGGTTAGCGCAGAAAATAAATTCAATTAAAAAAACTTAAGAAGAAAGTTTTGTTTTCCAACTTTTATTCGCACTGCAGCACTCTATTGAAACTGCTTAAAAGCAACTCCCGGATTATTAAAACCCCTCTTTCTTGCTTAACATATTATTAAGAATAAAATGAGTTCAGCTGTTGAAAAGTTTTATAGAAATACTATTTAGAGCTTCAATTGGGAATGGAATAGAAATATAAAAATGTATAACAAAGTTGAAGGAACTTTTGTCCAGTACTGGACACTGGAAATAATTCAGCATTTTTTCCTAAAATGTTCAACTATTTTAATTTAAAATAACACACAAAGTTTCATTAAGGCCCAAAAAAATTGCATGTTAAAAATATTTAAGCTCACACTTTTGACAGAAATCAAAGCATTTCTTCTTTTTTTTGGACGATAATTGAAGTAGTCAGCATTACTAGAATTGAATATAACAATTTGCTCTTAAGGCAACCTAAAAGATAACTTTCTCAAATATACCTATATGAGAAAGATTGCACCCTTACATGCATTTGGGCGTATGCCCCGCCTTACCAATCGTTAAATTTACGAACATAGCTTCTCGAAATGGAGTTTCCATGCTTGCGACCGAGTTTTATGTGGTCGGATGGCATATAACACTCAGCACTCAATTCAACTAGCACACCTTTAAATCTGCTGCAATTTGTTGCCTACTCTAAAATCCCAAAGCAAATATTTTGTTTTCCAAAACACACTGAAGTATTTAGAAATCGTCCAAGACTCATTTAATCGATGAGATACACATTGACAAGCATTAACTTACAGATAAGTGTTGTTTCCCCGAAGACCAGCCATAAACCAAGTCAAGTTCTGCAATAATACCGCTGGTCATAGCGCGTAAATCTATCGCCACAAAAATAATAAATTCGAAACAGGGCGACAAGCAACGCTCGAAATTTTATTAGTTGGTTATGAAGTCGTTGTCGGAGATTGCGGAATAAAAAAGGTCTTCGATGGTTCATACATATGAACCAACAACAATATTGATTTCATGATCCCAGGGCCGCGCCGTCCATTAGTGCGAAGGCGTGCACTGCACGACGGCGCCAAAAGTCAAAAGGCGCCGCGGCGGTATTATAATTTAAGAAATTTCCCAGAACTCCTCGTACGACATGGGGTTCTTCAAAGCCCACATTCATCCCGGAGAAACAATATTGTTGAAAGCCGTACGTCGACTGAATCGACTCTAGCAGCTCTAATACTTCGACTGCTTTCTGCTAGTTCGATTTCCTCACGTTCTTCGATCGATCGCTCAATTATCCGGCTTCTCGCGGAAAAAGTAACTTGTTTTATATTTAGCGTTTAGTTCCAAAACAAGACGAAAAATAAGCTAGGTAAGTAATTTACTAAAATTTACTTATTTACATACATAATACCTGTTTAGAATTAAAAAAATATATTTTACAGACATTAAAATAATCTAGATGGTGTAGGTACTTATTATTGCGTCATTTGCTAGTTCTGTCACTATTACGGCGGAGTATTTTCACTTTGCTTACCTTGTAGATATATTTTTACTAACACTTTTTCTTAGTGGTGTTTGCTGCGGAAAATCGTTGTTCTATCAATTTTCACTCATTTAGAACTTACCTATTTTGGGGGCATTTAAGCCATTTAATCCACTTCTTGTTCGATTTTGTATTTTTGGAAGTTTCATATCTGTGTAACTAGTCATTCTGAGTTAGTTTCGATTCCAATTTGCTTTCCTTTTCAATAAAATACTGTTTTCCACCATGTTATTTAACTTCAACTGACTTTGGCCACATGGGAAAATTACCTTTCTAGCTTGGGCACTGTAATAATAGCA